TATATATATATATATATGCACACATAATAATATAATATAGATTATATAACATATAAATTAGCCAAATAAATCCATTTAATCCATTAAGTAAATAAAATAATATATAAAACATTTAAATTAAAATACATAATAAATTAAAATAATCCAAACGAATCCTGGTTAATAAAATCAAGTCCTGTCTTTTTTCCCCCCCGTTTCTTTAGGTTGCAAATGCACTTTCATTTAATTACCATCTTCGGTGTCTGTGTGAATTTCTTTCTTGTTATTCTGTTTTTCTGAGGTGTTATGAAAGGCATTTTGCAGTCCAAGCACTTCATTTTATCACTCGAGATTTAATTGCTGTAATTGTTGTTAAATCTCACTGTGCTGTGTGATTTTCAGACGTCTTTTCATTCCAAGACCAAATCTGAAAAACAAGGGCTATTTTAGAGACCAGAGCATGTTCATCTTAATGTACTCGGGGCAAGAAATTGAAGGCTTCAGGAAAGAAAAGTAGGGGGAAAGCTAGTCTGTAAAAGCAGCATGGCTTCTTAGTAAAACATAATTATGGAGGACAGAGTTGGCCAAAGCATCGCTGAGCAAAGAGTTTCAAATTACATCTGGTTGTTTGCAAGTGAGACTAACATCTCCTCCTTCGTTCTCTGGAATCCTTTAACAACTTCTGGCTGACTTTAACCATAGTTTGCAGTGGGGGTTGTGGTGGTTTTGTGGTTACGTTACTAACCAAATGTTAACTGTTCAAGGTCCTTTAAGCTGCATCTAAAATTGCTGCAAATGTGGTAAAAAATCAATCTAATCTGCATTGAAGACAGACGGGAAAATTAGTGTTCATATGTGGACAAACCAGGGTTAATGAAATGTCTGCTTAACCATTATCATGATAATGTCTAGTTAAAGACAAACATTCACAAAGTTTGAAATCCTTCAGTTCAGCGCTGCATTTCATTTCTGTTGCATTTTAAGAGTCAGTGGATTTCTAGTCATTTTTTTTTTTTGTAGTCTGTAGCTTCTCCTTTGCTGAAAAGAGTGGCTTAGACCAGCATGAAGTTTTGTAGTTCTTGCTTTGTTGTTGTTGGTTTTGTGCTGATATAGCTGGTTGATTTACGTCAGTCAACTCTTTTTTTTTTTTTTGGTGAAGCTTGTTGCATTGTACTGGTTACACTGCAAAAAAAAAATTATCATTTAAGGTTTTTGTCTTGGTTGTAAAAATATCTAAATGTTCTTAAATCGAAGATACAAGCAAAACAACACTAGACATTAAATCTTGTTTTATGAAAAATGTATCAAAAGTAAAAGTTTAAGTTTAAAACAGAAACATTTCTGCCAGTGGGGCAAGAAATATAATCTTAATTCAAAGGGAAAACCAGTTTATTTTTCTTACACCATTGGCAGAATTTATTTATTTATTTAGCTTAAACTTACTTAATTGTATATATTTTATTATATTTATTTATTTCCAGAAAAAGGCATATCATATGTAATTTTACTTTTCAAGTTAATGGATCTTGATTAAGGAAAGTTTAGAGTTTTGTACTGGAAAAAAAAAGAAGATAATACTAAGTAGGAAAATGATTTTGCTGAAAATCACAACATGTTTGTTTTTGTACTGTGTATTGCTGTGTCAGGTCTTGTCTAAGTATAAATGTATATCACTGGCGCCCTCTACAGGTGTTTGTTTGGACCTGATGATAAACTCACTCCAAGCGTTGAGTACAGACCTCAGAGATCCTACAACCGCTCAGCCATCGAAATCACACGTGCGTCATGCATTATTAGTGTTTTTATCAGTTGCCTGCATCCAGTTTCCAAAATGATAGAATTTATGAGTTCTAGATTATGAAGTATTTCTTCATTCTTTTAGTTGCCAGTCTGGGCATTAGCAGTGAGCTTCAGGCCAAACTCCAGGACGTGATGATCATGAGGAACCTGCTGTCCATCGGTAAAGTCCTCGGAGAAGGTGAGGACGCAGTCTGGTGTGGATTTGTGTTGTGTTGCAGCTCGTGTCAGATGAACGCAATGACCTAACGTCTCTCTTACAGGTGAGTTTGGATCCGTGATGGAGGGGCATCTCAGACAACCTGATGGGACCTCGGAAAAAGTTGCAGTCAAGACCATGAAATGTGAGTTCACTTTTTGAAAATTATTTTATTTTCCATTTAGTAGGTATTTTATTTAAAAAGTTTTTTATTACGTTTATTATTATTATTGATATTATTATAAAAAATATTTACATTTTAAGTATTTTAAGTATTATTTATTTTAATTTAATTAAAAAAATGTTTTACATGTAATATTATTATAATTTAAATATTTAGGTTTCACATTTTATATCAAATTATTTAGAAAAAAGTATTTTTTTATTTCACTTTTTTTTTTAAATTATTTCTTGTATGTTTTTAAAGCAATAAGCACCAAGAAGCCGTGGTTTACAGTGAATTTACAGTGAACTCCGCTTCGCGTCGTGCCTTTCAAACGCGGCTCAACCAATCAGAATCAAGGACCGGAACTATCCGTTTTATAAATTTTATTTTTGCATGCTGTAATTCATTACAATTTTTGTTATTACCATATTTGCACCCAGAGATTTTTTTTAGGTTGATTTTCATTTTTTTCTTTTGAGAGAATCTTATTAATTTATGTAAAGAAATTCATTTAAATAAATTCATGAAAATTATTTCTCACTATTGACCCTATTCTCCAGCGAAACAAGCGCAGCATTTTTAGAATATTGTCTTTGAACTTCCGAATGTGCGGTAGCTCTGTATATTTCTATGGCATCGCTGTCTAAGAGTAATTTAGATGGTAACGTAGATTTATGTATTGTAGAGTTAACGGACGTTATTGTGAGCATTGTAATGTTTAAAGCAAATGTCAGTAGACCAGTAAGATTTTAAAACGAGCGGTTCATTTATAAATCCGTGAGTGGAAATACAATCGGAAGACAGAAGACAACAAACACAGCGCTAAAAAGGGGCGGGGCTACATAAGGTCAATAACCAATTGTGCGTGTTCCTTAAAATCAAATCAACATCTAATACAAAAGTGTCGTAAATTGTACTTCATAAATATTACTGTGCATCTTTCATGACTCAATGGTGGAACGTTTTTACTCTGGATATTAATAAAATCACTTGTATTCTTTGTTGTGTGTTTTTAGAGCTGATTTCATTTTAATATATTAGCCACAACACTTGCCTCAAGTAGCATGAACTAATCTGAGAGCTACCTGATCTTTACAAGGGTCTGCAAAGGCACTAAACTTATATCTGTATAACTAGATAGGCCAAAAGAGAATATCATAAAAGATATGAAATGAATCATTGACTTCTGCCTCTTTCAGTGGATAACTTCTCCCAGAGAGAGATTGAAGAGTTTCTGAATGAAGCTGCTTGCATGAAGGATTTTGACCATCCTAACGTCATCAGGCTGTTGGGTAAGAAACATGCCTGAATGCTCATTATGGTCAAACAGAATAAAAACATCTGATATAAATATGAAATAGTGTTCAAATCCATAATATGTCAAAGCATTTCCATTATTGTGCATCTTTTGTTATAATGTTGTTTTGTTCACGTAGGTGTTTGTTTAGAGGTTGTTTCAGGCCACTTTCCCAAACCGATGGTTGTGCTTCCCTTCATGAAGTATGGAGACCTGCACAGCTTCCTCCTTCTCTCCCGTCTCAGTGAAGACCCTGTGGTAAGATGGCAAAGAAACAACAATGCTGTTTGTCTACAAAATAGTACTATGACGTAGGGCTGCACGATTAATCGAATGCGATTGTCATGCGCATTTTGATAGTAATGCCGGTTCTGTAATCAGCAGGAAATCATCATCACGTGCTTTCAGATGGAGCAGGATTTACTACACATAGCTGTAGTTCACTGACAAGTTACGCAAAAAAGTCGCAGACGATTTTATTGCGCGATTCTGAAATCGAAGAAATCGTTCGCGATAATGACAGCTGTTTGCATAGCTTCTCAGTGAACTACGGCTCTGTGAAGTAAATGCTGCTCCATCTGAAAGCATGTGAAAATACCACATTTAATAACATATTTTTACTCCAAACTCACTTCATAACGTCAGTCGGCGATAATGACAGCTGTTTGCGTAGCTTCTCAGTGAACTACTGCTCTGTGTAGTAAATGCTGCTCCATCTGAAAGCATGTGAAAATACCACATTTAATAACATATTTTTACTCCAAACTCACTTCATAACGTCAGTCGAGTGTTTGAAATAAATCCTTCTGTGAGATGATGTGGCTTCTTACACAGAATAAGGCACGCAACATATTTCATAGTATTTAAGCAGTGATAAAGGCATTGCATTATAAATATACTTTATTTTAATGAAAATTATAATAATAAGAACTCAGATAAACCGTATATTGCCGTAGTCGTGTGTTTATTAGTCACGTTGAATCAATGAATGCAGTTGAATCTTCTGTTTACCCAGCTACCGCGATAGGCATTTCCTGGGTTTCTTCTGCGAGGCGTATTTGGAGTTTCAGCGCGAGAGCGCCCTCTGGCCTTTGGATGGAGATTTACTGCTGATCACAGAACCGTGCTTCACTGAAAGATACGCATGACAATCGCAGCTTCTGTCGAATCGCGATCTCGATTCCATTTTGATTTATCGTGCAGCCCTACTATGACGGTCTAATAGGATGTTGTGTTGTATTTCCAGTATCTACCTACACAAATGCTCCTGAAGTTCATGATTGACATCGCTCTGGGAATGGAGTATCTCAGCGGCAGAAACTTCCTCCACCGGGACCTGGCAGCACGCAACTGCATGTACGTGTCCTGAACTTACAGTCTCCTATATACTTTTAGTCATGGAAGCACCAAGAAATAAAGACGATATTAAAATCAGAATGATTTCTGAAGGATCATGTGACACTGAAGACTGGAGTAATGATGCTGAAAATTCACAGGAATAAATTACATTTTCAAATATATCCACATAGAGAACAGTTATTTTAATTTGCAATAATATTTCACATTATTATCAATTTTATTGTATTTTTAATCAAATAAATGCAGCCTTGGTGAGCAGAAGGGACTTTTTTTTTTTAAACATTACATGCTTGTATCTTGTAACTGTTTATTTGAACCTTTGAAGTCTCTGTGTTTGTTTTAAGCAATTTACATTTTATTTCATGCAGGTTGCGTGATGATATGAGCGTGTGTGTCGCTGATTTTGGCCTGTCAAAGAAAATCTACAGTGGTGACTATTACAGACAGGGCCGGATAGCCAAGATGCCTGTCAAATGGATCGCTTTGGAAAGCCTCGCTGACAGAGTCTTCACGGTGAAAAGTGATGTGGTAGGAACTGTCATCACTGCCATCTTCGTTGTTCAGTTTTATCCAAATGTATAAGATGTGTGCTGTTTTTCAGTCTCTACAACTGATCAGTTAACTTTGTAGTTCATTCTATTTTAAACAAATACTATTATTCAAAAGTTTTCAGTCTCTTTATGTTCAACCAAGGCTGTGTTTATTAATCAAAAATACAGTAAAAACAGTAATATTCTCAAATATAAATATATTTTCTATTTTAATATACTGTAAAATGTAATTTATTTCTGTGATCAAAGCTGAATTTTCAGCATCGTTACTCCAGTCTTCAGTGTCACATGATCCTTCAGAAATCATTCTAATATGCTGATTTGCTGCTCGAGAAGCATTTCCGATTATTATCAGTGTTGAAAATGGATGTGCTGTTTTGTGATACTTTTTTCAGGATTCTTTGAAAAGTTCAAAAGAACAGCATTTATTTAAAATGGAAATCTTTTGTAACATTATACAAGTTCTTACTGCCACTTTTGATCATTTTAATGAATCTGTTCTGAATAAAAATACTAAAGTCATACTGACTTTATACTTTTGAACTGTAATGCAACTTAAAATAAAATTCCTGTTCACATGACACAGCCTGGTCAGAGTTTTTGGTGGTTTGTTTTGCAGAAGGTCTACAGCAGTTGTTGATGTTTGTTATCTCTTGATGCCCTTTTTAGTGGGCCTTTGGAGTGACCATGTGGGAAATAGCCACTCGAGGAATGACCCCGTACCCTGGCGTACAAAACCATGAGATTTACGATTATCTCCTCGAGGGAAACCGGCTGAAACAACCGAGCGACTGTCTGGATGAGTTGTGAGTTTGTTTTAAAACTGTGTGTTGAAAATGGCCATGAATGTCCAGCATGTGAATAGCTTATATCCAGTACAAAAATGTTCAAATCAAAGAAAAATCCAAAGCGATTTACTTTGTTAAAAATGATGAAGTACATTACTCTAAAGACAGGAAAAGTTTGACTATTATCAAATATATAATTACTTGCTCCACCAGAAAGATACATTTTATGAAAATAATATTTTATGCAATTTTGCTTCTTAGATAAATGCATCTTGTTTAATGATATTTAGGTAGCTATATATAAATATATAAATTTAAAATAGAAATTTAGTATAGTGTAAATAAATATAAATATAGTTTAGACAAAATTCAAAAAAGATTGCTTGTGTTTTATGTTGAGCATCATATTTGATACATTAGGCCTTTATGGCTCATACAGTATGATACAGTGAAAATATGGTCAGCTCAGTTTTATTCAGAGGCCTTAACTGAGCAAAAATACGCAATTTGGTGCAGATGCTGATATTTTATATGATCAAAAAGTGATGACATTCTGATGCTTGTCATGTAAATCAGTGAGATCTTAAAGGGTTAGTTCACCCAAAAATGAAAATTAGGCTTCCTGAAAGTGAGTGTGTGTCGGTTTGTGTGTGTCTCAGTGGAATAGAGCATAATGAATATGGAAAGGCAGTAGGGAGAGATAATTAAAGTGGAGACTGCTTTGCTCTGGTCTGCAGGTGTCCTGAAAAACAGCTCCTGTTCACCATCACTCACAAGAAATCAAAACAATCAATGCTTAAAGTGTTAGTTCACCCAAAAAGGCATTCTAGGTGTATATGACTTTCTTCTTTCAGACGAATCCAGTCAGAGTTATATTAAAAATTGAACTGATTATTCCAAGCTCTATCATTGCAGTCAGCGGGTGTTGCAGTGCTTCAGTCCAAAAGAAGTGAAATAAAAAGCGCTCATCCATAAAAAAAATGTCTCACACGGTTCCGGGGGAAGAACAAAGGCCTCCTGTAGCGAATCGATGCGTTTTTGTAAGAAAAATAACCATATTTAAAACGTAATAATCAATTTAATCTAGCTTGCGCTCACTGTTGTAAACGGAAGCAGCTCCGGGTGGATGACGTATGAGGTCAGCGCTGCGCATGCGCCGCTCAGAAGTGACGAAGTCAGAAGTTGCATGCGCAACGCTGAATTCATACGTCATCCACCCGGAGCTGCTTCTTCCGTTTACAACAGTGAGCGCAAGCTACATTAAAGTGATTATTGCGTTTTAAATATGGTTATTTTTCTTACAAAAACGCATCAGTTCGCTAAAGGAGGTCTTTGTTCACCCCACGGAGCCGTGTGAGACAATTTTTTTTTATGGATGGGTGCTTTTTAACTTCTTTTGGACTGAAGCACTGCAACACCCGCTGACTGCAATGATAGAGCTTGGAATAGCCAGGACAATTTTTAATATAACTCTGACTGGATTCGTCTGAAAGAAGAAAGTCATATACACCTAGGATGCCTCAGGGGTGAGTAAAACACAGCCTAATTTTCATTTTTGGGTGAACTAACCCTTTAATAATATAACCAAGTAAACCTAAGCTGCTTCAGTCCAGTAAGTGTTCATCTTGAAATATTACTAGCAATATCAAAGTTATTCTTATGTTTACTTTGATAGCAAAAAGACACATGAACCACAACATGATGGTGGACATTTGTACAATTATACTAAAAGATCTTTTACTTGCTAAAAAATTATCTAAATGATCCATCAGATGACAGAATGCATGCAGTAAATTGTGTGCAACTTTTTTTCAGTAAAGTTTTGAACATGTTGGTAATTCCGAGGCCTTTGCATGTAAAATATGCAGTAGGCTTTATAGGGTTAATGTTTTTCAGCACATCTGAATCTCATAACACGTCCTGTGCTCTTGTGTTTCAGGTATGACATCATGTTCAGCTGCTGGAGCACTGATCCGGTGGACCGACCCGACTTCACACAGGTTAGGAAGAGGCTGGAGAGTCTGGCGGGGAAGCTTCCCGCGGTTTCCAGCAGAAGAGACATCATCTACATCAACACCAGCTTCCCCGAGGAGGAAGAGGAGTTACCCGGCGTGGCGGCCGAGGGCCCTGTGCTCACATCCTCACCCTCCTGCAGTCGCCAAACCACGGACACGTCAGTAGTGACGGTGGACGTTCACGAGAGCACAGACGCAGAGGACGACCGGTATGTTGTCGTCATTTCCTCCGGGGATCATGCGGCGAGAAGCGCAGTAGATACGCCACTGTTGAATCACAGACTGGACAGCGAAGAAACGGTCAGGGACGTGATGGCGATGCAGCAAACATCGAGTGACACCACACGTTTGCTCTGATGGGAAGTTGAAATTGACTTTTTTGTGGTATTCAACGGAAGTATATTTTGTCAGAAAACTGAATTAATAATGATTTTATTCAAACAGGGTTTTTGAACACCCATCTGCCATTGTTGGCAACAGTGCCAAACACACACCGTTGGTTGAGTTAGAGGAACAGCTCACCCAAAAAAATTTAATTTACCCACCCTCAGGCCATTCAAGATGTAGATGAGTTTTGTTCTTCATCAGAACAGATTTGGAGAAGTTCAGTATTCCATCACTTGCTCACCAATGGATGCTCTGCAGTGAATGGGTGCCGTCAGAATGAGAGTCCAAACAGCTGATAAAAACATCACAGTAATCCACACCACTCCAGACCATCATCAACGTCCTAAGAAACGAAAAGCTGCATGTTTGTAAAAAAAATAATCCATCATTAAGGCATATTTGTTTAGCTCAGTTTTGGGCTGTTTTAGCTTCTAAACAGTGCTTGATCTATGCGTATTTCTCTCCTGATTCAGACCAGACAACTTTACTGGAGAAAGCAATATTATGGATTATGGATTCGTATTTTAGCCAGAAGCAATGATTTGAAGTTAAAAACGTCTTTATGGATTTGTTAATGACAGACATGCCGTTTATGAAATACTTACATTACTTGTGGATTATTGTGATATTTGGACTATAATTCTGACGGCACCCATTCACTGCAGAGGATCCATTGTTGAGCAAATGATATATTTATTTAATATTATGTAATAACATTTTACAGTATTACTGTTTTAACTGTATTTTGGTCAAATAAATGCAGCCTTGGTGAGCAGAAGAGACATATTTCAAAATAATTAAAAAATCTTACCAACTCCAAACATTTGAACAGTAGTGTATGCGAATTTCTATGGCAACATATGTCTGATTTAATGCAAAATGTAAAAAAAAAAATCTTGTCTGTTTGCCCTCATACAGTATTTCACAGTTGCACAGAAACACGATGGACCCTAAACCCACCTGGTGGGCCCTGTCTGAAAGCTTTACCATGGTGTTGTTTTTGGCTTAATGCATGTTGAAGTACAGACCTCAAAACTGTGATGCTACAAATGTTAGAAAACAAGTCCTGTTTTTTCAGAAGTGATTAAGAGACTGTTACGTATATAATGTAATTGTCTTCAGGAGTTGTAAAATTAAGCTACAGTACATTGTGATTTTAAGCTTTTTTGTGAACTTTGTTTTTGCATAGAATCTACTTTGTATATTATAGAAATGCATTTTGTAAATATAAAGGACAAGGCGTTTTTTATATATAGTGTTTTTTACATTTTAACTTGGAAGTTAAGCTGACAGAAACGCAGAATCTTTAGAGAAATCTTCAGAAGTGTTTAAACGTGTGAAGTATTTTTATTACTGTACCTTCTGATTGGAGGTACAATGATATCTGCATTCATTTGAGGTTGAGACAATTAATGCCATTATGAACAATATCTTATGAAATACTGCTAACAAAATAAAGTTTGCTTTAAAGTGCTGCCATAAATGTTATATGAAATGATAACTTGGTCTAGTAATACTCTGAATAAGCCATTTGTTCATATTTAAATTTAATATTAAAAGCTGTTACCCGGAAACGTTCGCTTATGTTTTCAGTGTCAGTACCAGTTGAAATCTGTCATTTACTGTGAGTTTGGTAAGCAATAATTATCATAATGTAAGTGCAAAGCTTGAAAACGTTTTCATATGCAGACAACATTTCACGTCAGTAAAATATGATTAAGTTGCAATTAAATTAATGAAACATGTTTGTTTCCACTACTACTGTGTTGAAATTAATTATCAAAAAAATGAAAGTCAAAAAGGTAAATATAAATATAAAAAATTGTACTGCATGAGATAAAATCTTCGATTAAACATTTTGAAAAAATGTCATTTTGTTGTTGCTGTCGTACATTAGCGATTTCTATATCGACTAGACAATAATTGTTCTCAACTTCTTTTATTGTCCAAACAGACGGTGTGTGTGTGTGTTTGTGTCTAGTGAACTTTTTGTAAAAATTGCTCATGTTCTAACTTTCACCTGTTGCTGCAGATAGATGGCTGCTGGCTCTGACCTGTGCTGCCAGGTTCAGGGCTGATCATTTGCTGGCCAACTTGACCCTGCCTGGTGGATTGGCTCTGACATGCACTGCACTGTACTGCATCTACCTGTCTTTGACATGGTTGCTTCTTGAAGAAACCTTGATTATATTGCTTCACTTTTTTTTACACAAAATTCTGTCTAAAAATAAAAAAAAACTTAACTCAATCATCAATATTACACAAATAGTATATTTAATAGCCATATTCTCATCTGATTAAAGACAAAATCATTTAAATGTGAAGCTGTTCTTGGACATTGCAAACGAAAATAAAAAAATATATAAGACTACAACGCAAAAACGGTTGTTTATTCAAACAAACAGGTGTTTACTATTCTACATCTTAAAATTCCAAGTGTCAGAATGCCACCATTATTAAAAACCCCACATTTTAGCGTTTACCACATTACTGCAGACTATTAGGGAAAGTGATTTTGCCTTTAATCTTTGAAACAACAGGAAGAAACGTAACATAAAGATTTCTATTTTAAGCAGTGCTGGTACATCGCGGCAACACAAACTCTAAGGAGCTTATATACCATAATAAATAGTATTTAGTTACTTGAGAGTTTCCCAAACTTGTTTGTCAGCCGAAACCCTTACATGTAAACTACATAGGAGATGTACCCTCTTAGATGTACCCTCTTAGATTTTCAGTTAATATTTCAATAATTTAACAACAAAACACATTCTCATGTTTATGTTTCTCTGATGTTGGTGAGTGGTCAAATGACTAGCAAGTAAACAAATACAATATTGCAGCATTTTTTGTACTTTTTCAGTACTTGGAAACAGGACAAGACTGTTTCATCAGCTCAAAAAAACAAAAACAAAAAAAAACCCCTAGCATTAACCTAAGAGTGAATATTTATTTATTATAGGAAACCATACGCATGGCCTTTCTGTTTTTAAATTATTCAAAATTAGGCCCCCATTTACTTCCACTCAGGGGGGCCTCACTGCAACATTCGTTTTTGCCTTTTTCTATTTCAGGAATCCGCAAATATGGCCCACGACTTCCACTTTTCTACAGAGTTCAGCTCTAACCCTAATCAAACACACCTGAGCATGCTAATCAATGTCTTCAGGATCTGTAGAACATCACAGGTAGGTGAGTTTGATCAGGGTGGGAGCTAAACTCTGCAGCGCATTGGCCCTGATTTGAGATTTGAGGAACCCTGATTTATTTATGAAAAAGAGGGACTAGTTCATATGTTGTTTTGTTTTTTCACTGTAGAGTGATTATAACACAACTTTGTCAGATTTCTGTTTTTTTTTTTTTTTTCCGAAAAGAATGGGCATGACATTTCTGTTTTTATATAATTAAATTCACCCCCATTTACTTCCACTCAAAGTGCCTCACCGCAATATTGATTTTATTTATTTATGTACATTTAATGAATTCATTAATTAATTTATTTATTTAAATTAATTTAATTTAATTTAACCAGGTATGACATTTCTGTTTTTAAATAATTAAATTCACCCCCATTTACTTCCACTCAAAGTGCCTCACCGCAATATTTATTTATTTAAAATTTTTAATTTAATTTAATTTAATTTAATTTAACCATGCATGACATTTCTGATTTTAAATAGTTAAAAAATACGCCCCCGTTTACTTCCACTCAAAGTGCGTCACCGCAACAGATTTGTGAATTTATTTATTTAAATGTATATTTTTATTGTTACTTATTTCTTTCACTTAATTTAATTCATTTTAAACATAGGCATGACATTTTTGTTTTTAAATCATTCAGAAATTCACCCTCATTTACTTCCACTCAACGTGCCTCACAGCAACATTGATTTTTGCCTTTTAATTTATTTCTTAATTTATGAATTAATTAATTAATTCATGAATGAATTAATTCATGTATGTATGTATGAATGAAGGCATGAGAAAGAGGGAGGAGTTGACATTTTGTTTTTCTGTAGTTAATCAATGTTAGGGCAGAAATGCTGCACTCTGTGGAAGTTTCATGGAAGCGTGAATTTTTGTTGGGGAGAAAAAAGAAGACTTTTAAAAGACATGAAAACACTTGAGTGGAAAAACATCTGTTTTTCGTTCACCTGCCGGTGTGTCTTCTTTAAATAGCTCACACTTGAGTGCTGTACTCGCTTACAGCCATACCACCCTGAGCACGCCTGATCTCGTCCGATCTCGGAAGCTAAGCAGGGTCGGACCTGGTTAGTACTTGGATGGGAGACCGCCTGGGAATACCAGGTGCTGTAAGCTTTTGCTTTTCCTTCACTAGTCAGCTAACACACTTGTCCAAGGCTCAGCTTGCTCCTTTACCATTTTAAACTGATTGCTGCTGCTTCTTCTTTTTTTGCTTTCTCTGTGCCTTCTTTCTGCTTTCGGTGTGACAAAGGACAGCTCAGCCTCGTCATTCTTCCTTTCTCCTCCAGGGGGCGATATACAGGCCTTTTCTCTCTCTACAACAGGGCTGCCCAAACTCAGTCCTGGAGGGCCGGTGTCCTGCAGAGTTTAGATCCAACTTGCCTCAACACACCTGCTACAAAGTTTCTAGTATGTCTAGTAAGAGCTTGATTAGTTGGTTCAGGTGTGTCTGATTGGAGTTGGAGCAAAACTCTGCAGGACACCGGCCCTCCAGGACCGAGTTTGAGCGCTGCATGTTCTTTTGGAAATGACGCTCCTCTCTTCAACTTTAGTACCAAAAGATCTCCGCAAAATATTAGATAATATTGAACTAAAATATACAACACTTATTTAACTGAAAAAATAGTTAAGCTGTATGGTCACATTATAAGTAAGCAATACCTGAGGGTTAAGAAAACCGTATTAATGGTGCCTATCCATCACTCTCCAGAATAAAATGATACTGTAAATGTCATCAACGTAATAATCAATGCATAATATGCTGTAATGTTTACCAAAAAATTGCAGCAAATACCTGTATAATGAAGCTGTCGACTATCCTACTTAAACCCAAGTTGAATTACTGAAATAAATGAACTTTTCCACGACATTCTAATTTATTGAGATGCACCTGTATTTTCAACGCTGGTATGTTTGAAGAGCTCCATGAATCACGTGACCGCGAGATCAAAGCTTGTGCAACTCTGAGTGAGTGAGTGAGTGAGTGAGTGGTTATGAACGAATGAATGAAACACATTTGTCCGTGTTTCACTCCGTCTCGAATCGCGCTCGCGGAAAGCGCTTGAGAAACAGCGTCTCTTCCGCAGCTCGGTACGCTTTCAACTCGTTTTTCTAGTCTCGAGCAAGAGACTGTGTGACATTCACATTACATGATTTGACTGATTTTTACGTAGAAAGCCAAGGGCGACAGCACACCGCATTAAAAGAAATGATCATTCATGTTTTCATAACCGCTGGCCAAATTCAAAAACGAAACTAAAATTAAATCATCTTTGAGAGCAAGGGGGCCCCGGTGTTTTGGGGGCCTTACGCAGCTTGCGTATACACTCTTAAAAATAAAGGTGCTTCAAAAGGTTCTTCAAGCGATGCCATAGAAGAACCATTTTTGGTTCCACAAAGAACCATTCAGTCAAAGGTTCTTTAAAGAACCGTCTCTTTCTTACCTTTTTATAATCTGAAGAACCTTCTTTCGCCACAAAGAAGCTTTTGTGAAACAGAAAGGTTCTTCAGATGTTAAAGGTTCTTTATGGAACCATTTAGAAAAAAAGGTTCTACTATGGCATCGAGAAGTATGGAATAAAATCGCTGTCAAAAATAATCGTACGTAATTCAAAGCATTTGTGTGTCATTTTAATTTACTCGTGCGTAATTTAAAAGTATTGTATGTAATTCTGTTTTTTGTCAGAGTTTATTCCATAGTGAAGCACCTTTATTTTTAAGAGTGTAGGAGGATCGGCGCTCCAATCTGTTAACATGGGTGCGGAAAAAATACACACCGCATACGCACTGCAAACGTAGATTGTGTGAAACAGGTGTCTTGAAGAGGATGCTTGTCTAGAAAAGCATAGCATTTCTAAACCAAATGATTACTTTCCATACATTCAAGGGCATGTTTAGAGTAAGCATGGAGCATGAAAAACTCGGCATTTGATAACATCTTGACTTGTCATGTAGGTTTTAGAAAACACATCCAATCATAAAATGCAAATATAAAATAAAAATCACTCTGTGCTGCTATCCAAACAATAATTTATATAACGAATACGCATTTTGTATGTCTCATTTGTTTTATAAGGGCTATTTTAATTAAAAAAAGAACACATGCTACAGAGAGCGTGCTTCGTGCACATAGAAAGAGTTATAAGCTACAGAAGAATCATGTGAATTCATTTATTGCTATGAAAAAGATGACAAAGACTAATACAACTAATTTATCTCCAATCTGGGTAATTAAATACATGGGTATTAAAACAAGGTAGGCTACTGACTTATGTTTACAACTAAAAAATTTTGTGACTGAGGAGGAAAAAAGAAGCGCCTTTTGATGGCATGACGTGTCACGCGCACAGGTGTGTGTGTGAGTGTGTGAGTGAGAGTGTGTGTCCGAGCGAGCGTCTCAGTAAACATGGCCGACAGTAGCCGCCGGTGGATACAGAACAGCAGCCGTTTGCTCTTTTTTATCCCATTTCTCCTCATCACTTCATCATTAAATGGAGTTACCGCCGCTCCAGAGATGGGCCTGTGGACTATTACAGTGCTTAATGTGAGTGTGGATGATGTTTATGATTATAAATGGATGAAAACGAGCGACGAGTCCAAATGCTAACAGCTAGCATTAGATACCAGGGCATCTTTAGTTCACTGATTATGTGATGTTTTTACGTTTCTATTATTAAGACAACCTCTAGAAATTAATGACAGATGAACGACACGTTATGAGACAGCTGTCAGAGTCATTGAAATGATAAAACACGCTTAAACTGTGTCCATATGCTGTGTTTGTATGAGGACTAGCTCAATGCTGCATGCTGCAGCTCTACAAAACACAAGTCTCTTATTTTTGTCATGAAGGGCTCTGGGATAATGAAAGACGATGTTTCATAATACTGTCAGGATCAAATGGATGAATATTGCAGTGTTGTATTTTTTACAACATGTATTGCGTTGCTGTGATGCAGGAGGTGTGAGTGAGTGTGTGTGTCAAAGATGAAAAGGGTTTTTCAAGCATCGACACAATAAAAGTTTAATATAGCTTTATTATTAGAAGACATTGAAATGTCATTAATAGTCAACAGTAGTTCATGTAAACAAAATGTTGTCAGGTTTTACCCATTTGATCAACAAAAAGTTTTTAATCATTAAACCATGTTTTTAATCATTTACAATTGAGTATGATCACTTTTTCTTTTATGTTTTAAGATGCTGAATGACAAATGGAATGTTATTTCACCCATATTTCGACATTTTATTTTCACAAAAGTTATTTGAAACTATAAAGTAGACATTTTACTTGCATATAATATGCTTTTTCTGTATGTAAAATCTCTTTTGTAAATTTCATTTGAGGCATGGTGTTGAGAAAAGAAAGAACATCTGTTACTGTTTGCTGTATGACAGAAGAAGGGGGCATTTTACAGCCTAATAGCAATAAATGTAGCCTGTCGCTGCAGTTTAATATGCAAACTGAGGATTTTACTTAGTATTCAGTATAAAGGAATCAGTTACGTATGATTTTTTGGCATCGAGCTGTGACGTGCTGTCACCTTTGATTGTCAATATGATCTGTGTAAAGTTTGTGACAAGGTCTTATTAAATATTTAAAGGCCTGTCTAATTTTTCCACCGAGGTTTCTAGTGGCTGCCACTGTAAGACAATCCCATATCACACCAGTTTAATTTACTACTGAGCACTGAAAACTGTAGAAAGAATTTGACATTTGTGTTTTCTTCTCTTTTCCAGACATCAAGACCTTTATTGTTAAGAAAAGCCATGTATAAGGACACTGACATTCAACTAAGAGGTGTCTAATGTTATTATTTCTGCATAGACTGAAGATAAAGCTTAAAGGAATAGTCCATTAAAAAATGAAACATTTCTGAGCATTTACTCATCCTCAGGCCATCCAAGATTAGGATGAGTTTGTTTCTTCATCAGATTTGGAGAACTGTAGCATTGCATCACTTGCTCCCAAATGGATCCTCTGCAGTGAATGGGTGCCGTCAGAATGAGAGTCCAAACAGCTGATAAAAACATCACAATAATCCACAA